TAGTGCCTGCCTTTAGTAGGAGCCCACAGGAGTTCAGGTTGATCCAGGAAACTCAAACACACTCTTTCTTTTCAACAAGCCCAGTTATACTGAGAATTAAATTACACACAAGAAGATCAACTTCTAAGACTACACTCATTTTGTGTGGCTCACAACGATGAGGTTTAAAAATAAAATAAATAAATTCAAGCCTAGGTTTAACAATGGACAGTGTTCACTTAAAAAAAAAAGATCAGTCATTGAAGTGGCTCAGGGGTCAAGACTCTTGTGACAAAGCCTAATAATTGGAGTTCAAGCCCTAGAACCCACACTGTAGGAGAGAACCAACTCCTGCACGTTGTCCTCTGATGGCCACACAAGTGCACACACACAAATAAATGAGAACAAAAATTAAGATAAAAAAGTTAGGGAGAAGACAAAGAAGACACCTAAAAAAAAAAAATAAAGCAGGGGGTGTTCAGCTGGCATGGTGGCACAAGTCAACTTTAATCCTAGCATTCAGGAGGCAGAGGTCAGCCTGGTCTACACAGTGAGTTCCAGGACATCCAAGACCACATAGAGGGGCCCTATATCAATACATACATACTACATATTTTGGCTTTCTGGTTTTTCTTGGAACTATAAAGCTGGACAATTTGAGGTCACATTCTCAGGGGAGCAGGAGCTGGTACTCATAGGCACTGCCTCCTTTGCAGGATACCCCACTTCTTCACGTTCACTACAGGCCTCATCATTCATTTCCCATGAGCCTGTTTCCTGCCCTGCCCTCTCAGAAAATGGACTTAAGCTACTGAGATAAGAGCAGGTATTCCACAACAGTCTTAGAGCTTGGCTTCAGGAAGCCTTGTCCTTTTTACAGGGAGTACCTGCCAACCCAGACTGAGCAGATTTATCTATTTCCCCAGGAATTCTCGTTCTCCACCTTGAACCCAGAGAAGATCCACAGCCTCCTTCTGTCTCCTGTTCCTCCTCAGAGACTCTTTCTTTGCCAGCCTTACCTGCCCACTCCAGCATGTCCTCAATGTTCTCTGCTGCCCTTGGTACCAGTCGGCTCTGATCAGTGTCCTCCAGCCTCAGAATGAAGCTCCCCTGGTGCTTCTTGGCAAAGATGTAGTTGTAGAGGGCTGTACGGAGGCCACCCAGGTGTAAGAAGCCTGGTAGAAGAGAACAGGTCTAAGAGGACAGGGGAAAAGCTGCCAGCTGAAGTGCAAAGAATGTTCCAAACAAGTTTAAGACCAAGAAATGGCGTGACTGTTCCATTTCTTTGGTGGACACCCAGACAAGACTGTCACTGAAAAGGACACAGTAGGGATGAAGAGATGGCCCAGTGGTTACAAGCCCTGGATGCTCTCCCAGAGGACCCATGTTTAGTACCCAGCATCCACATGGTGGCTTATAACTATTTGTAACTCCCATCCCAGCAGCTCCAACACCATTTTCTGACCTCAGCAGGTACCACACATAGATGTGGTGCACATACACACATGCAGACAAATGACTCATAAACATAACATAAAATAAATAAACCTCAAAAACAACAAAAAAGAAAAGGTAAGGACAGGGTGGCTGACTCCATTCAGTCCTTCATCTTGGGAATGGAAGGGACACCCAGGTGTCAGGTCTAGGAGCTTGTCATCACATAAAAATGCTCCACTCAACTTTGACATTTGTCTCAAGGCCAAGTTTCACCAGAAGGAGAAATAGCATTCATTCTCTGTTTGAAAATTTCTGTCTGAAAATTATTCATAGAGGCCAGATCATACTAGCATTTACATTACATAAATCTACTGATATATTCGGGGGTGGGGTGGGGTGGGGTGGTGGTGGCTAATTACATGTTAATAACACATCTAAATCCTATTAAAAAATCACATTTTTCATATATACTCTACATATGATACTTAGCCACATCATGCAATTTGGAGTTTTATTTATTTATTTATTTGGTTTTTCGAGACAGGATTTCTCTGTGTAGCTTTGCGCCTTTCCTGGGACTCACTTGGTAGTCCAGGCTGGCCTCGAACTCACAGAGATCCACCTGCCTCTGCTTCCCGAGTGCTGGGATTAAAGGCGTGCACCACCACCGCCCGGCAGAATTTGGAGTTTTAAAACTACTTGAGATTTGTCACCATAAGTGCTAGTTGTAAGTAATTATAATTAAAAGTAACATTTGGTTTCCCTTCGCTGGGGTTTAAACTCCAAAACTATTACTACTGACTGAAAACCTTAAAATTTCCCAGGTCTGTCATTTCCCCTTTCCTCTACTTTTTTTGGTCCAGCCCAAGGCCCTGGATCTCCACAGTCAGGCCATTTACATTTATAATGACCTCATCTGTATTTCCAGGTACCTAAGGCAGCATGGGACAAGAAATGTTCTTCTGGGTACTGGGCAGACCTGGCTTAACACTGATGCTATGTGAGACCTTCAGCAAATTATTTCAAAACCACAAAACAAGTAGTTCTCAGTGGAACTGAGCCTCAGGAATTTCAAGACAGAAGAGACCAGAAATTGAAAATAACACCCTTCACATCATATATAGCTGGATTCTACATCCAGGGGCTGGATAAATGGCTCAAGCCAATAAAGTACCTGCTGCACAAGCATGATAACCGGAGTTTGGGTCCCAAGCACCCACATAAAAGCCAAACATCCAGCTGTTAAGTCTAGTGCTGGCAGAGGGCAAACAAGCAGATCCCTATAGCTCACTGGCCAGCCAGTGTAGGGGAATCAATGAGCGCCAGGTTCAGCAACTCTTTCTTACCTACATGAAAACATACACCATACATGAAATTTAAAAAAGAATTCTCCATCCAGCATTAAGAATTTGCTAACTGTTGGGAATTCATTTAGCTTTCACAAGTTTTAATTTATTGATGTTAGTAGGCTTAAAAAAAAAAAAAGCTGATTCTGGTGGCATGAGCCTTTAATTACCACTCTGAAGGTGATCTGTGTGAGTCTGAGCTAACAGCCTGTTCTACGCAGCAAGTTCCAGGCCAGCCAGGGATACAGTAAGGTCCTGTCTCAACAAAACAAAAACACCTGGATCCTTCTTTACCATGAGGTTGCTATGATACCTAAATGTTGACCAAAGCAGAACTTTAAGACAGATCTTGTGACTCACATCTGTAACTCCAGTATCTGGAAGGCAGAGACAGGAAGAATGTACAAGTTCAATGACAGTATGGTCTTTATAGTGAGTTTCAGGCCAATCAGGGTGATACAGTAAACTGTTGCCAAAGGAAAACAAACCAAAACAAAAAAAAAACCAAAATTTAAACCTTCAATTAATTTTAGCCATCACAGTGATCTACACTGATTGACAACTCCTTCCCATTGGGCTTTTCTTGCCAGTGAGCAAAGCAATGAAAAACGATAACTGCAGTAAAGGCTACTGCACATAGCAGATCCTGCTGAGCGGCTCAGCCGCACTGGCTCAAAACCATCAGACAGACACTATTATTAGCCCTGCTTGACAAATAGCAAAAGTAGGACATAAACAGAGCAGATAACGTTGCCAAAATGACACATCTAGGAATGGACAAAAGCAGAAAATGCCAGGCCTCGGTGCCCTACATAAGTGCTTCTTCAAACAAGGTGAGCCTCCCAGTGCATGTTCACAACAGGTAAGTACAGAAACAGAGAGCTGAGGCTTGGGAACTTAGAGCCATCTGATGTCCACTGAGACTAACAAAAAGAAGCTTTTGTTTTGTATGTTTTCCAGATACTCATTTTTTTCCCCTAGTAGTTTCATTTGTATTAGTCTTAAATACAGAATCACAACTGGTAATTAGGAACCAGGGTTTCCACCACATAGGATTTAAAAAGTTCCACGATTTATATTGCCTGCCCAGAAGTAATGTGTCATTCCTGTGCAGCTGGGACTGTCACAATGATCTTTTTCTGCTGACCTTGGACCTGGAATGAACGGTTGCTCAGTGTCCAGAAGGCCGAAGGTGACTTGAGCTAAAGGAAGGCTGGGAACTTGTGGTGAGCAGGGTAGGTGATGACAGTATTTCTTTCTTTTTGGTTTTTCGAGACAGTTTCTCTGTGCAGCTTTGGCTGTCCTGGAACTCTCTCTGTAGACCAACCAGGCTGGCCTGGAGATTCGCCTGTCTCTCCTCCCTAGCGCTGGGATTAAAGGCATGAGCCCCACCACCAAGAAGCTGTCTGGCAGTATTTCTAACAGGGCATATACTGGGCCTCTTTTCCTTTGGCTTGCTAGACTTTCAGCAACAATAAATCCGGGCCATTGTGCCATTTCCTGTTAGGTGTCAAGCAGGTCTCCTTAACATTTGGTTCTCAACTCAAACGTTAACTCCTCAGCAATGCCTTCTAGGGTATCCTATCCTGCTTCATTTCTAAAATGACAAATATAACTCTAAATTACTCTTATAAGTGTTTGACGTGGCCACTACAATGCCGATTTCTTCAAAGCAGGAACCCTAACTTTTCAATGACCACTGCACTCTAGTGCATACGACTTGATACAATTTATACGCACTACACGCTACATGAAAGAAGAACAGAGACAATACAACAAAGCAACTTCCAAGAACCTGAATCACTTCAGGTCTTAAGTCCTCCATTTCCGTCTCTGTAAAATGGGGTCGCGCTGACACCGGAAGGGACTGTTTCTGGAACGTTCGGGGGGGCGGGGACGGGACAGTGGGATGCGGCGCGCGCGTCACGTCCACCAGGATTACCTGTGGGGCTGGGAGCGAAGCGGACTCGCACCGTGACCCCGGGATCTGGGCCCAGACTGGCCTCCTGCCGCCCCACTTGGTGGCCTAGGGCCACCGCGCGAGGCCCGGCCCGCAGAAGCCTCTCGAGGAGCGCCGCCATGTGAAATAGAAACACACACGTGGGCTTCTTCGCGCGTCACTTCCGCGCGGCGGGGGAGACTCATTCCGACCAATCAACTTCCGCCACCGCGAGAGCGGCCCCGCCTCTTAAAGGCGCAGGCTGCCTATCTGTGCCGCTCACTCCCCCCTGGGCCGCTGGGACAGTGCACTGCCGCTAGGGGACAGCGTGCAGGGAGCGGGCCATTTCCCAGACCCGCCCCCCTCGGCTGCGGGAATGCTAAAGCGTGGCAGGGGCCGGCCCGGGAAGCGGAGGAGGCGGGTCTCCATAGAAACCTCCACCTGTTTCCGGCCAGGCTGTGTGAAATTAGGGGCTGTTGCGGGGGCCAATCTCAGCCAGCTCGCTTCTTCCCGGCGGCCCCTGCGGGCGCGGTGGGTGTTGTACACAATCATCATGGCGGCGGCCGGAGCCCCGGATGGTGAGTGCGGAGGGGAAGGCGGTCGGTAGGTGGCTGAAGAGCTGCGGGCGCTGCGGGGGTCGGGGGACGGGGACTGGCCCTAGAGGGAGGAGGTGGCGCAGCAGCCGCCGTGCGGTGGCGCCCGGGCCTATTCTCGTCGCAGGCCGGGCCCGCGGCGAGCGCCCACCCCTAACCCCTTTGCAGGCATGGACACGGAGGCCGAGGCTGTGACCACCGAGGCGCCCGCACGGCCCCTCAACTGCGTAGAGGACGAAGCAGCGGTGGGGGCGGCGGCCGAGGACTCCTGCGACGCGCGAGGCAGCCTGCTGCCGGCCCCGGCCCAGCCCCCTGGGGACCCTGTGGCTCAGGCCTCGGTCAGCAATGGCGAGGACGCGGGCGGCGGTGCGAGCAGGGAACTGGTGGATCTGAAGATAATTTGGAACAAGACTAAGCACGACGTGAAGGTCCCTTTGGACAGCACGGGTTCCGAGCTAAAGCAGAAGATTCACTCCATTACAGGTATTCTAGGAGCTGACAGCCAACTGCCTCCACCTCCCCACCCCCCCCACCTTCTAGTTGATGTTGCTTACGTCGTGCTAGAACTGCTTGTGTTTTCCTTGCATGGACTCTCCCTATCCACTGCAGTTTTCTGAAGTCAGTATTTGCATGTGCATTATTAACCTGAGAGGGAAAATTGGACCCATGATGGTATGGAGCTACCAAGTGGTGGAGCTGAGATGCAAACCTGAAACTGATTAGGCTCAGCCTTCTAATGTTGAACTACCAAAGCTAGTGAAAATCTCCCATGACATTCACTAAATGTACAGTTCCTGGGCGTTAACTGTGGAGATTCTCTGTGAGTCTAGGATGTAGCCAGGATTTATTTTTAGTAGGTAGGTAAGTTTCGTAAGGGAAGTTCATGAAACATTATTATTGACAGTCATGGTGGCCCTTCACAATTATTCATAGTTGGTCTTTTTATTTATACTGGTTTGCTACTTAAAATGATTTCTTTCTTAAGCTTTTCCCGTGTAGCCTGTAAGTGCCATAGAAAATATTGACTTCTGTATCTCTGACTCTTGGGCATTCTCAGTATTTAAATGAGAACAAGGTTGAAGAACAACTTGGAAAGAACGATAGCTAAGACACATTGAACAATTCTAAATACCCTAAGTCTATTAGAAGGACCAAGTCTTACGAATCAAATAGGTCTGATGATCCGAATTCCCCCGAGTTCACAAAGCTGATAGCCAGTGGAGCCAGTATTCATTTCCTGTTTTGTTAGAGAAGGATGGTGGTCCATAGATTTCCTGCTTGTTCCTTTCACTGCCTTCCACTTTTTGTCAAGGTCTCCCACCTGCCATGCAGAAGGTCATGTATAAGGGACTTGTTCCTGAAGATAAAACGTTGAGAGAAATAAAAGTGACCAGTGGAGCCAAGATCATGGTGGTTGGCTCTACTATAAATGATGTTTTAGCAGTAAACACCCCCAAAGATGCTGCCCAGCAGGATGCAAAGGCTGAAGAAAACAAGAAGGAGCCCCTCTGTAGGCAGAAGGTGAGTCCATTGTGTACTTGCTTGTTGGTCCTGGGAAATTGGAGGCTGGTTACATTCTCCCTAGAATAAGCTCCTTTTTGGACAGGGCCCATGATGGAAATTTATGGAGCAGTTGGGTGCAGCAGAGGAGTTGACAGCTACCTGAAATATGCAACTTTGTCATCTGGCGGGTCAGTGTGCCTTAGTCTTCCTGCTTTAGGATAAGGCCTTTGTAAGGGAGACTTCAGCTAGTTAGCAAATGGAGTCAGACATGGGTTTCTTCTATTTAGTGCCAGAGGAGATGATCAGTGTTAGAATTAACACTTATTAACCTTATTCCTTACAACTGCTCACATTCGAGGTGTGTGTGTGTGTCTTCTCAAGTTCAAAAACCCAATTCTGGATAGGTATGGAAGTCAACAGTTTTCAGAGGTTCCCCTAAAACTGACCATTTCAGGAACCCAAACCAAACTGAATAAGAAGATATTGACACTTCTTTGTTTTGTGTTTATGTGACCTTTCTCCATGATATAGCCTGAGTTTTTATATTATCTCTCTTGCTCGGTTTTGTGCTTTTTGTTTTTTTGAGACAGGGTTTCACTCTTTAGACTGGCCTGAAGCTTGATCTGGATACTAGGCTGGCCTGGACTTTGTACAATCCTCTTGTCTCTGTCTCCCTAGTTCTGAGTTTGTGGGCATGTGCCATCATGTTTATAGGTATGTGTTTGTTTGCCCATGATGCAAAGGACTGAACCTAGAGTTTTATGCATGGTAGTAGGCAAGAACTCTATACTGAGCTATCCCTCAGTCTCTTACCATGTATTTTTAATTTAATCTGTGTCCTGACCAGAGTAGATCTGACTTGAACCAACATTAGATATAGGGCCAGTAGACACTAAAGGCATAGTTCCAATCATGGGAGAAATATGGTTTTATGTTAGACATCTATAATCCATGTTTACTTTGTAACCAAAAAGAAGTATTTTTAAACATCTGGCAGCAAAATTGAACAGAATTGTGGGGACAGTTACAAATTTTTGAAAAACATTTTTAAAAAGATGTACGTATGTATGTATATGAGTACTCTGTCTGCATGTTCCTCTGCTCGCCAGAGGAGGGCGTTGGATCCATTATAGACGGTTGTGAGCCACCATGTGGTTGCTAGGAATTGAACTCAGGACCTCTGGAAGTGCAGCCCATGCTCTTAACCACTGAGCCATGTCTTTCTAGCCCCTCTTAACATTTTTTTTTTTTTTTTTGATGGAAATACTAATGTGTTTGAAAGAAATATTGTTTGGTGACAAGTTGCTACTCCAGACACCATAGAGAATATTATGTACTCTGAAGTTCAAAACATCTTTCTATAGGGTATTTGTTTTGTGTTGTATTTGGTGTTGGGGATTGAACCTGGGGCCTTGTCAGTAGATAACACATGCTCTGCCGTAGAGCAGCACCTCTATAGAGTTTTAGATAAGAATTGTAAAGTTGAATTATCATCTAAAAATAAATATTGTATGAGCCATTTTCATTCCTAAATATGGGGTCCTAATTTTCTGTAATCCGTTGGGGTCATTGGTATTTTCTGTCTTCCCCTGCCACATTTATGAAGGAAATGTGAGTATTTTCTCCTGTCACATTCTTAGTGTGTAACCTGCCTTGTAAATACAGGTTTTGGGTTACTAATGGTAGCTTAACATGCTTAGAACTGTTCACCACTGTGCAGGGACAATTCTCCCAAAGGTACTTATAAGGCATGACTCAAATATACTGCCATTCTTTGGTGCTTTGCTTTGGTGATGCCACTGGTTATGAGGCATAGCATGACCCAATGAGGCTCCACTCCCTCATTAGGCTTTTGATCAGTGTGTTTCAGAATCTGAGGCTGCTATCAGCAGCAGCCCTTTGCTAGTAATCCCTACCATGGTGTTCTGCTATGCCAGTGAAGGTTTGGGTTGGCTCATTGCCTGTTAGTGCTTGCATTTGACTTAAGTTTTAACCTTGGCCCATTTATTGGCCTATAGTTCCAGCTTTACCAAACAGCTACTATACCTATAAAGCCATAGATGTAAAGGAGATGAGATGAAGGCATTTAGGGACCGTGAGCTTTAGAACTCTTGAGTCCTGAGGTAGAAGGCAGGAGGAGTGGGCTTGGAGGCTTCTTAGTGGTAAGGCATGGGGGAGTCAGCATTTCTGTTTTAAAAATATGGCTCCTTGGGTATTCTTTGTGGCTGGGTTGAGGGTGGGGCAGAGAAAGACTTCTGCCATAGTCTGGCTCTCCATAATAATGGAGAAATGACCCTGCTTGGCATTTATATCTATATAGGCAATTCGTAGTTTCTTTGGAATTGAAAAACACAGATGTTGCTCTCTTTTCCTATCTGTTAACTTAATGGTTAGTTTTTTCACTGGAGAGATGGGAGTAAAACATTTGACTTAAGAACCTTTGAACTCCTACTTAGTGTGTGGAACTTCTGTATCTAATATGGTGGCTGCACATGGATAGTTAAGCCTAAATAAAGTTGAGACGTCACTGGCTAGCACAGGTAAAGGAACATTTCATTATCAACATAAACTCCCTTGAACACGTTTGCTCTGCAGTGTCATGGGATCTGTAGTTTGTTGATACTAAAAACTTTCAGACATTGAGACTGCTTCATCCTGTCTATCCAAACGATAGAAACCTGGCTCACATGTAGTAGGCTGTCTCATTTTCCTCTTTGCTCTGGCTTATATTGTAGCAACACAGGAAAGTGCTGGACAAAGGAAAACCTGAAGATGTGATGCCATCTGTTAAGGGTGCCCAGGTAAGCTGGCCTGCTTTTTGAGCCCTTAAAAGAAGCTGGTTCCACAGTCTAAGATTCCTGTAATCATGGCCTCAAGTTCTGTCTCACCTCCCTCTCTGCCCTAGTGTCCCTTCCTTTCTCACTGTGCTCTTGTACCTCCAGGAGCGCCTGCCAACGGTACCCTTGTCTGGCATGTATAATAAGTCTGGAGGGAAAGTGAGACTCACCTTTAAGCTAGAGCAAGACCAGCTGTGGATCGGCACTAAAGGTACTCCAGTTCTCTCAGCCTCCTTGGCATCCCGGAACCCTGCCTGCCTCTAGCGCCCAACAGCACTGGCTCCTGACTGCGATTCTGCCTTTCATTTGGAGCCCCCCTCTTCCCCATGCTTTGTGTCTTCCTAGCTTTTGACTGTGTCTTTACATGCTTGCCTCTTGGTTGGCCCCATCCCCCTCTTTCTTTTCAGTCTGATCTCAGACCATCCTTCAAATCTTGGCCCTTAAGTTAACATACAAACCAAGAGATCCCAAGCATATGACCAAAGTCTGGTCCTTAGGTAAGGGTTTTATGGGAATATGCGTAGTTGTACAAATGAGATTTCCCTGAAATGAATGGGGAGCTTCTCTTAGAAACTGTCAGAAGATCTGCCCACTGGAGCCTGCACTCTTCATGAAGCATTGAGGAGCTGTGACTAAGCAGTAATATGCAACACAGTCCCCATGGCCCTGTCTAATGTTTAGTTAGCTTGGCTTATGGTGCCTGTGTGGCCCTTCTCTGTTGGTCAGTTTGACTCCAGAAGTGAAGGTTCCCTAATTGCCACCTAGAATTTCCTCTTTGCCTGATGCTTGCCCTTTATATACATCCTCATCTCTTGTCAACAACACCCTGCCTGCACACAGTATCTGGTTCAGCCTTGCTGTTTCTGGGGAGTATCTATGGTCATCCCCACTCCACCTTCCCCTGATGGTTACCTAATTTTGTTTGTTTGCTTGCTTATTTATTTATCTATTTATTTTTGACAAAGGGCTTCTCTATGTAACCCTGGCTGTCCTGGAACTTGCTCTGTAGACCAGATTAACCTCAAACTCAGATCTACCTGCTTCTGCCTCCTGAGTACTGGGATTAAAAGCTTGCACTGTCACTCTTGGCTAGTTATCAAATCTTGTTGGTAACACTCCAGAATTGCTCTGTGTCCCTGTCTCTGCCATTCTTCAGTACTGGTAAAGGCTACTAGCATCTTTTTAAAAGTTGCATCAGGAGCAAGTTTCTGTTTACCTGACCCCTTCTTTGTTTTGGTCCTCATTGCTGTACTGTTTTTTTTTTTGTTTTTTTTTTTTTTTTTTTGTCTGGTTCATAGGTCTGTAAACCTTTAGTTCTTAAAGGCCAGGTTTGGATGTTTAATCATACTCCTATTTTAAATCCTTGGCCTGCTCTGTCAGCCCTCATGTACATGAGGCACATTTTTGAATTTCCCAGCTCATATTTTTCACAGCTCTTGTCTTTGCTGGGCCCTACCCTGGAATGTCTTCTCAGTCCTTGGGATTAATAAATAGTCTTTCTTCCAAGACCCTACCCCCAAGATGTGCTTTCCTAATGAAGCCTTCCTTACATCTCCCTAACCTTCCACTTGAACTTCTGTTTCTTTTGAGTTGCTTCTGCTCCTTGAGCACTCTGTTGATGTCTCCAGAGCACTCATTACTCTCCGACTTGTCTGTCCCTGTTAGATTCCTGGAGGGACCCGAACATGCCTAATTCACCTGTTTCTGGCCAGCACTGTAGGTGTTCAGTGTTCGAGGTAAATGCCAAAGAGGAGAATAGAGGTCCCATCATGAGAGACTTACTTGTTGTTTCCAAGGGAAGGTTACAGAAAATGGAACCAAGGGCAGGTTGGTGGGGAGTGTAGTATGATTTTTATTATCTAAAACAGGAATCTAGAATACAGATCATTGTTTCAACCCTAGGGATTCTTAAAAATGAATAGGTTGAAGTGTTGAAAGGGCTTGAGTTTTGTCATTTTGTGATGGCTATGTTGTTCATTTTATAATCAACTCTTAACTGCATGATCAGACCAAATTTTCTATGTTTTAAAAGGTTTCTCTAGTGTTCCAATGGCCTTTGAAGGCTTTGCTTGAACATTCTGTTCTAGAGAGCCTGTCATATCATCTCCTTTGCCAGTGATTAGCTGCCCTGCCTGTGGGCTTTCTTGGTGATCTTGCTTCATCTTATTTATTGCGTGTCCTTGCTAATGCACATGGCTCTCTTCTGTAGCTGGGCGTCTCTGCTTGCTGGCAGCCCAGATTGAGAGCAGTTGCCCAGGCTGGTCTAGGAAGGCCATCATGTCCAGGAGCGTAGGTGCAGGCAAGGGGTTTAGGTAGGGCTCAAGCCCAGTGCTTAATGGATCCTTGGAATAATTTTTTCCCATGAAGTTGTATATGTTGTTTGGTGTTTTTGAGGAAACTATAACCTAGCCTGGCCTCAGACTTTTGTTGATTCTCCTGCTCCAGCCTCTTGAGTACTGGATTTAGGCATGAACTATCATGCCTGGCTTAAAGATTTTATTTAAGCTTCTGAAAGCAGCTAGTTTCCTGTTTTAGTGTGAGGGCAGAGCTCTAGAAGTATCCTGATGCACTGAGATTTGAGCTGTTTGAGAACTCCTTCCATTACTGCATTGCCATGAGCTTGTACCTTCCATGGTTGATAAGGCCGAGCTCTTCATTCTGAGCTAAACCCTTCCTTATCAATGTCTCTAGTAGCCCAAGGGGTGGGTAAGTGTTCTTGTGTGCCCAGGAGGCCTGTCATCTAGCATCAAAAGGACTTGGAGAAGCACAGCTTGTTCTGGGAATTGGCTAAAAGCCATTGGCTTGTCTTCACTTCAGCAAAAAGCTGCTATGAAGTGACTGTCCCAGCAGCTAATTGGCCTCTCCATGGGTACTTTGCTGAGTAAGGGACCCTCAAGACTGCCACACACAACATTCTATTGCCTGTGTAGGAAGAAGCAGGGTGAGACTATGGAGGTGCCCAGGAGAGCATGCTAGGCTTGTAGTCAGCTGCCCCACCCTGCTTGTAGGACAGTCAAAGGTTAATTGATTGCCATTATCTGCTGTGTGCTGTTTGGGTTTTCCAGTCTTTGGAATTGGAGGAAAAGTCAGAAATCTCTGATTGTATGAAATCTCTAGACATTTCAAGGTGAAAAGTATTTTGAAAGTCTTAATTTTAAGGATGCTGCTGGTCTTGTCTGTGTGTGGCTGCTGTTTTAGAATTACAAAGTAGACATATTCAGGCCCCTTTTCCCCATTCCAAGTTTTCTGAAGTCAAGGCCTATGGAAATACAATACTTGGATGTCACTGGGAAGACCAGAGCCCAGGATTCTTTAAATTTCTAGTTCCATTTGGTAACTTAGTTGTTTACTTATCTGCCTTTCTAGATCTTTCTTTCTGCAAAGGCTATAAGGAGTCTTTTTCCACCTTGATTTAACAGTTTTATGACAATGCCTGCCTGTACTTCAGGTATCTGGTGCTTCCTGGGTTATTTCCTGTGGCACAGATTCCCGTGCCTCCACACTATTACACTTGTCTGCTGCAGGTGACTCATCTCACTGAAGGCCTGTTTCATGGCTGCCTCCTCTTTCCTGCCATCCTTAAACTTGTAAAATGTTCTCTGCCCTGTGTGATCATTGATGTCTCCAGTGTTAATAGGTGATGGCGTAAATGTTTTGAGAGACCACCACAAGCAGTTCTGTTTATAGAGGGTTTGGTAAGTTTGGGCACAGGCAGTAGCCTTGGAAGCTTCGCATACTTCTCCTCCTGTTGCTTCTTTGTTGTGGGCCTCTTGACTTTGCCTTTCTTAGGTGTTCAAAACGGTAGCTGATTCTGGGTTTGGGTTATGAAAACAGAGAGGAGTTTTTAGGTGTTTTTTAATCATCAGACTTTAAAACTAATAACAAGATGGGTAAATGTGTCCTGGGACTTTTACTCTACCATCACCAAACCCTGTTTTCCATTTGGTGCTCCAGATTTCCCAGCTCCCTACTAGGCTGTAGGTGCATTGGTCAGAAGATGCCATCCCTCATCCCCAGAGGGTGTGGTACCTCCCACCTGAGTTATCACATCCAGCCAGCCCTGGTATGGGAGGAATTGCTGTGATCAAGGAGGAGTTGGGACAGGTAGACCTTTGAGTAACTGCTGTCATTCTTTCAACCTAGAGCGGACTGAGAAACTGCCCATGGGCTCCATTAAAAACGTGGTCAGTGAACCTATTGAAGGACATGAAGACTACCACATGATGGTGAGTAGCTTCAGCCTGCCTGGCCACCTGCTTCTGCTTCATCTTGAAGGGAGTGGATTTTTAACAGGGCATTGCTAATTGAAAAGAAAACAATTTTCAGAAGACTGTGGAGATCCTTGTTTTCTTGTCTACTTAGAGTTGTGTCCATGACCTTATTTCCAGTTGTGGTTTTTTTTGTTCTGTTTTGTTTTGCTTTGCTTTTTTCAGTCTCTCAGCAGTCCAAAGGAGGGTATGTTTTCTCTTGTCCTTTTTAGAAATCTATTCTGTCTCCCTCTTATTTGTAATACTTTGTTTTTAGGCCAGGAAAATGAATTGGAATGGCTTGTGGACTTTCATTTTAAGTTTTGTCTTGCTTATAAAAGAGAACATCACCTTAGCCATGAGGCTGTGAAGATACCAAGAAGTCTCTCCGGTAGTGGTCTGCCACCCACATGGCCGGGAGCCCTTTGGGAAGATGGGGCCCAGGGCATGCTTGCTCTGCATGGAGCTCATCAGTTTGTGCAGAACAAAGCAGGCAGTTTAGTGAGCTGATAAAATGAGCACTTTACAAATGGAGTTTACCTGCCTGCACTCCAAAGTTGCTATAAGAGGCACTTACCCTGGGCTAGCAACAGTTCCAGGGTGGGTTTGCCTGCTGTTGTCTTCCCAGGGACAGTTTTTTTCAGGATCGAGCCTGTAGTGATGCTGCCATATTTCCCCCCACATCCATGAGTAGCTAGTTATTTGAACTGTAGGTAGGATTACCAAGTCCATGGCACAGAGGTAATGTTGGACAGTCTCCTTGCTCTAGAGCAGTCAGTGAAAGGGCCTTAGCATACAGTGGGCTGCAGAGCTGATGTGTCCTTTCCTGCCTGCTCAAGATCAGCTAGGTGGTGGCAGAGCCAAGGCCATGGGACCGCAATCGCTTTTGGACTTTGTTCCTGGTGGTGACAAGAACATACTGAGGCTTCCTTTGGGGCCACCTCTACACCCTCACTTGTTTGTAATGTATAAAACAAGATGCCAGACAGATTGGTTTGGCCTGCTCAGTTATTTTTCTTATTTAACAGTTGATACTGGTACTCTTAGCCTGGCCCTTTCACTCCTTTTTGAAACATTTGCGTGAACAGTTTGACCCTATGGGGCTTGCAAATCCTGTTTTTCAGGCAGCCTGGTGATGGGGAAGCAGATAGGGTGAATGGACTACATTAGACATTTCTTAAGGAATTTGTGTTCATGAATAATGGTTTAAAATTTAGTTTAAATTTAGTTAAAATGTTCTGAAGTCATTTTAGACAAAAAGTGGATTCAGCAGTCCCCTTCTGACTTTTTTTTAAATGCCATTAAATAGCACTTTATCCTTGTCCTAATGGAAGATTGACTTCCCTCTTCTTCCAGATGCCATTTGTCTACTAGATAAGTGTGTCCCAGTTCACAGTGCTCTTTGGTTTTTAGGGTTATGTTTCAAAGATACAGAAAAGAACGCACGTTACATTTTATACCATAACCCATACATCCATCACCAAAATATGATAGTTGTAAATATTTTGTAACTTGTTTTAAATCTTTTAAATAAAATTTTTTTTTGCCAACAGTGATGTTGTCCCCATTGTCTTCCCCTCTCCCCTCCCCATTATTGTAATCTATCATGTATGTTCTTCATCGATCATTGCTTTTGTTTATACATATGTCCATGAACAAGGTGGCGTACTGTCTTGTGGTTTTTTTCAGTTTTCATAAATAGCATCATGGTATCTACCCTTCTCCAACTTAATGGTTTGGGTTTGACATTGTGATCTGTCAGAACTCTAGATCCAAAGGATCTGCTTATATCTTAATAAAAGACTCCAGTGTTTGTATGAATAGGCCACACTACTGTGAATTATGGGTACCCTTCCTTACTGGTGGGTGTGTAGGTTATTGTCAGGATTTTAACATTTCACACAGTGTGCTTTAGACATTCATACCTGCTTCCTGTGTGTGAGTGACATGTTTTCTAGGGCAACAGTCCTTAAACTATGGCCCCTGAACCAGGAATGTTGAAATTACCCGTGAGCTTGCTAAAGTTTCTTGAGCTTTGCCTCAGGCCTCCAGAACTAAAATCCAGGGGCTGGAGCCTACACACTATTTTTGCAAGTCTTTCGATGTGCATTGAAGTTTGCAAACTACTGCCTTAGGGGTGGCTATGCTGAACTGAACTTTCATGCCCCCCCCCCCCTTTAAGTGTAGGAGAAACATATGCAGTTTGGTTTTTCTTCCCTTTTTAATCAGTTTGCTCCCCTCCCTCCTGCGTCTGTTGTTCTGCCTGCTTGGTCACCCTCCTCTGAAGCATCGCTTGGTTTTTCCTTTTCCCTTGCAGGCGTTTCAGTTGGGCCCCACGGAAGCCTCTTACTACTGGGTGTACTGGGTTCCAACTCAATATGTGGATGCAATCAAAGACACTGTGCTGGGCAAGTGGCAGTATTTTTGAAAGCACTTTCACCTCTGGCCCAGGAGACTGACCCAAAGTGAAGGACATTGCCGGGAGAGGTCTGCAGCATCCCTGGATTGCAGAGTTCTGGGACTTTGTTCACACACAAAAAAAATCTCTATTCAATCTGAGGTGATGTGGTGACTGAAGCCAGAGGTGATGTACTTTCACCATTAGCTTAATTTGAACTTAAAATCACCGGTTCCCTTTCTTGCAGTAAGCTTACCATTTTTAAAGTCAGTTTGGTGGAAATTAATAAATCCAAGTTTCGAACATGTGTGGAATACTCTTAAGTCTGTTTGAGAGTAGATCTGCCAGTAACGCTGAGAGGGAATAATCAAAAGCTTTCTGATTGTTTTCTTTTTTCTTTGCTCTTTTTCTCTTTTCTTTTCTTTTCTTCTTTTTTTTTTTTTGGTTTTTAGAAGTGATTTCAACTGAAATGTTCAGATGTCTTTGGTTGCAAACATTTGGACTGCATTGTGATGAGTTGGGTTTTTTTTTTTTTTCCTTTTTTCCTTGGTATTAAAATTGTATGCAAAATGGGGGTGGTTAGTAAGCCATATTTTTTTGTGTGTGTGCTCATTGATTCAGATTTTTTTTTTAATGTTTTCTCAATTCCCTATGATTTTGTTTTAAACCCAAAGATGCCAGTTTCTCTTTTGGTACCTCATCTTCACCTCCTTGCCAGGCTCTCTCCCATGTGCTGCTGCTGCTGCTGCTTGGGAATACACATGGGAAAAGAACAGCTGGTGGTCTTGGTGTAGGGGCTCCCACCTTTCTGGGGTATTCGTTGAGCAGCAGAGTATCTCTCACTTGACTCCTGTGTACATGTCTTACCCCTTGGATCCCTGTTCTGGGGGAGTTCCACTGCTGGTTTGGTTGTTGACAGCCTTCCTTGAGCTTGGCTTTGAAGCCCTGCCTATCACCACAGCCTGGGACTTGCTGCTCCAAGGCCCCCTGCTCTGAGGAGCCAGTTCGCCATATGGCCTCAGATCACATGCTTGCTTTCTTGGGAAGCTTCCTAGAACTTCTTAAGCAGTCCAGTGGTTGTTTGAATTAATGCTTCTCCATTTGGTCCTTCTGCTCATGCATTTAGTTCAAGTGTCCTTTATCCCAGGTTCAGAGATGCTGCCTTTCTCATGGAAGACCTCTGACCCAGTAGGTTGGCCAGTGGTATTCCAACAACAGAGATGGGATAAATTGCTTTTAGGACCAGCTTGCTCTTCTGGTTTTAGCCCTGATGTTCTTTGTACATGTGAACTGCTGTCTTCTGCGTAAGCCTTGATTGACTGAAATGAGGGGCAGTCTCTTGGTGGATGATCCCTTTTTGCTGTTTGCTGTTTCTCTGCTGCCGTCTTTGCAGTTCCCCTCTCACTGGTTACAGGCTCTCATAGTAAGGTTTGGTGAGAAACCTTCCCAGCGTCACACTTTGGAATCTAAGCTGTTACCCGCCCTCATCCTGTGAAATGTACTCGCATGTATTCGCCTAAGATTCCTTGTGAGCCAGTTAATGACGATATTTATGCCCTTCCCTTCTAAGCTGTAGTTTGGGAATCCAGCCCACATAGACAGACTCTTGCTTTTTGTGATGTATTCAGTGCCAAGTTATGCATCTGGACAGGAAAACCTACTCTGCTTTTTGGGCGCATAAGTAATATATGCAAAATTCAGCGTCCAAGAAACTGCTTGTGTTTCAGCACCTCAGTGGTAATTGTGGATTTTCTGTTCTTGTTGGCCTGCAGTTCCTGGAGAAAGTACATTTTGCTCCTTGTCCCAGCCTCCTCCTACACTTGGCAGGTCTGTCAAGGAAGTGACCAAGTGGCAGGTAGAGCATCTTCTTGGCTTGAATACTGTCATTTGTTTGCCAATGTTCCTGTCCTTGAGACTTGTCTGACAGTGCCACATACCCAGTTTTGGTCTCTCTGAGCTGGCCTTTGTGTCCCCACCTTAGCTCTGAGGCCCCTTCTGCCAGCCCCCCATTTTCTGTGAAGGTCCTAGTGCTCCCTGCCTTCCCTCCTAGTACACGTGCCCTGCCATTATCCCCCTGCTGCCCAAGGGCCAGACTGCTTCTCACACAGGCTGGTGTCATTTCAAGAGGACCAAAGCCTCTGTGAGCCTTTTTATTTTCAGTAAAATGGTGCTTTTTCCTTACTTGGAGATACTCTCTATAAATAATGTAAATGACACCTTTTCGTATGGAGCTGTTCTGAGTATTGCTTTCCAGAGCTTGCTGAATCTGCTTAAGCTCTGGCTCCTGAGCCTGTCAGCACAGAAAGCCTTGCCAGAAGCTCTCGGAAGGGCAGGGGCAGGCAGCGCCAGAAGCCCTGGGAAGAAGTGTTCCGGTCTGTCTGGGTCACAGCAGTGTTTGCTATTTTGTCACTCAGTCCCTTGAGCGGTCTTTATAGATTTCTTACCGTGTGGAGTATACTGACTCAATCTGTGTGAGCAAATTGAAATTCTCTTCCCTTTAGGTAACATCACAGTGTTTTGTCCTCAGGACTACTTCTGTCCACCTCCTTCACTGTCAGATGAGAGCGTGCAGGGAGCTCTTCAGGAGAAGACTTCTGGTGGCATTACATGAAGCTAGATGGAGGGAGGCGCCCTACTCATGACGAGGCCTCTCCTGGGCTTGTCATTATGTAGCCACTCAAAGTGCTGTTTATAGGTGGTACTGGTGGCCCTTCTGCAGGGCTGTCCTCACAGACATCATGCCTTCCTTTTCCTCCCTTAGGCGACTAGGCAGAAAAATGTGACCACAAAACCGCCACTGAGCCTGGATCCCTCAGCTCAGAGCACTCAGACTCAAGAGTTGTAGGACTTTTGTGAGAAGTATTTTAATCCATGGTGGGCCTTGCAGATAGCTTTGACTCTTAAATTAAGTTTGACTGGACAAGGATGTACTTTCATAGCATCTTGAGGACAAAGTAGGGGCCTGGTAAGGTCCTAAGTAGCTCCTTAATTGCTGCTTTCCCTTTGAGGGCCAAAGAGATTAACTTTGCTCATTGCCATGTCTCAGAAAAGTTGCCATATCTCACCCAGAAGGGAATTTTTCCTCTTTAATGTGCCTGGAGGAGCACTGTGAGCTCTTGCAGTTGGCCTGCCCTTTTCTTTGTCAGGAGCCAAGAAGGGAAGGGATAGATAGATAGATAAATGCCAAGGTCAGGCTTTCTTTCCATCTGCCGAGGAAGCCAACTTTCTTTTGCTCCTTGTTACTGTTCAGCCCTGGTCCCTTGGAAAAAGATGGTCCCTTTGTCTTCAGGCTTTGTAATAAAGACACCTCCAGTCAGAATCAGGCCCATTTCCTTCTTCCTAGGCCTAGAAGCCTGTTTGAAGTTACAGTGGCCAGGAGCCCTCTGGTGAGCAGGACAGCTGGTGGATTTACCCGCCAGGCTGGGTGGTTCTGTTTTCTTGGTGTCTGAGAACCTTCTTTACCTTCCCTACAGAGTTCTGCAGAGGTATTTGACAATGTGTAAGTACTATGTTTCCTTGTGGTGTACACTCTGTTCTTGTTTGTTTTTAAATCAAAATGCCTGTTTGGGAGGAGATGAACGTATTTAGTCTATTAGATTTGCGCTGCTGGATTTTTTTTTTTTTAATGTGTAATCTTGACTAGCTGTCTTATTGTTTATCCTGTAAGATTAGTCTATCAATTAAAGTTTGATAATTAATTGCGTCTCTCTCGCTCCTTCCAATTCTTCATGCGCCTAATCTATTCTTGGGACTTAACATTTAGAACAGGGCCCAGAGCCATCTTCTGTCAGCTCTGGTCTGACTTGTATGGCATTGAGTAATATATAAAAGTTTATTTTCTGAAACAGCTGACAAGGAGATGGGATTGAGTCTGAAATATCAGACTAATGAGCTTTCCAATCAGCTACCCTCTTGCTAGGGCAGCCCTCTGCCATGCATGCCTCTAGTTAGGGAAAGCTGCTTCTCTGTTCTAACTAGAAATCCTATACCCTTGCCAGCCATCTAGCCTTCAAAAACATGTTTTAAAAAACAATGGAAACAGCCACAGCTGGAGCCACATACTATAAAGATCCAAGAAGGAAAGAAGGTGGAAGAAAATTATTACCAGAAATAGGACAAGACCAGAATCCTTGGCATCAAGGGTTATGGCAGCAAGGGTGTGGCATAGTCTACCCAGTCACTCACGTTAGAAATTTTCCCTTCCCTCCATTGTGCATGTATTCCTGAAGGTTCTGGTCTCCCATTTTTCTATTTTGCTAATACCACATACGTCTGAAGCAACACTGAAAGGTATTTTTCTTTTCTTTCTTTTTTCAGGTAGGGTCTTGCTAGGTAGTATAGGCCTGTCTGGAACTCAGGATTCTCCTACCTTACCCTCCTAAAGGACTCCAGGCTCTTGCTGTGATGTCCAGCTTCACAGTCTTAGATTTTTATTAAAGTTTTTATTACAGTTTTGTGTGTGTACACCTATCACGTGTGCATACTCACATCACGATGTGTGTGGAAATCAGAGCACTGCTTTTGGAAGTTGATTCTTTCCTCCTACTGTATAGGTTCCGGGATGGAAAGACTTGGCAACGGGGTAAGCTACAGAGCCATCTTAGCTGCCTACCACTAGATTCTTAAAAGTCTGGCCAACAGCCGTTCCCACAATAGAGACCCTATAAGCAGACAGTCCTCAGGGATAGAGACGGGTCTCTTCCCTCTCTTTCTTGAGCTAGAACCAGCTGAGAGGTAGGCCTGAGATGCTTGCTGCTGGGAGACCTCTGCCACACGACAGCTGAGGCCAGTTCTCTATTCCTCTCACTGCCCTAGCCGTGTTTCCTTGACGGAGGTGACCAGGGCTGTTTGTATTTTCAAACTGTTAGTTTTGCTTTTTCTCCAACTTTTCCTTGTTCACTTCATCTTCAACTCATTTTCAAATTTCTCATTTTTATGCCTTCTGCCCTTATCTAAATCCTTTGCTATTTTCTGCCCTTCAAACTTTGTTTTAATTGCATGTATACGGGCACATTTACCAAGTCGCTCATGTGAGGAGTTCAGAGGACAAGTTAGTGGACTTGGTTTTCTCCTCTATTGACTGGATTCTAGGAATCAAACTCAGGTTACCAGGTGTGTTCGTGAAAAGCCTTTACCTGCTGAGCCATCTTTCAGCCCCTCCCTTTTTTGTTTGGAAAGTTTTCAGATTTAGAAAGTTGAAATATCCTAATCTGTTTAGCATCCTCATACCTTTCACTTGGTTAACCAGTAGCTATGGTATTGTCCACAAGTGCTTGCTAATCAGACCACTTTATTGTGCTGATGACAGACATACAAATCCAGACACTTGCCTGTGGTTACATAAACATACTCTTAAGAAGAAGGAGTATGAATGCTACTATCTTATCTAAAAATATATCAATAATACTTAATTTGTAGAATTTTTTCCTATTAATATTCATGTACCTTCTCCCCCACCCTCCACCCCCCCTCTTTAAGACAGGGCCTCACTTGAGCTCTGACTGGCCTGGAACTTGTTTTGTGGATCAGGCTGGCCTTGAACTCACTGTGAAGCTGAGGGTAGCCTTGCTCCTTAATTCTACTTCTACCTCTATCTCCCAAGTGCTTATAGGTATGAGCTACCATGCCCTGTCCTGCTTGGTTATGAGTCTTGTTCTACTTCGTGTTATGAGTTTCCATGGCTAGGGATCCTCTGGTCCTGGGTAGGCTTAGCAGGGGACTCTCCTCCTACCCACTCAGGGCCAAGTCCTCCTGTCTAGTGATGACTGTGGCAGTACTCTCACATCCAAGTCTAAGACTTAGACTCCCTGGTCCCTTACTGAGGACTGGTGAAGTGTTTACTTATATTGTTCTATTATTAACTAAAACTCTTGAGTCAGATATTGGGGTAAAAACCTGATAGATCCAAAGAGCGATGAAGTAACTATCAGCTGACTCTGACTCTCCAAAAAGGCCACAACTACTTCTGTTTTTATGTATCCTGGGTCCTCCAAAATCTCAATGGCTAACTCTGGTTGGCTAGTTGCTAACTCTGCCCCCTGATTCACAGTTAAACTTTACTGGAAGTCTCAAGTATCAGTACAAACAAGTATCCTGAAACAGACTGATGTAGTTCTTGTCAAACTCTGTTCACATGAGTTAGGAAAAGGGCTTGGGCTCTTTTACTAATAATGGAAACCTAGAGTGTCAGACCCAGCCCAATGCAAATACTCCACTAAGGTGGTTAGGTGTGACCATGTGAGCATGTAATGCCTGGTTCTGTTGTATTCTCTGTGGAGCTGGAATCTGTTCTCTAGCAACCCCACAGGAGGGTGTTTTTGTACCAGAGTTCTGGCAAGAGCACCAGTAGTTGCATTATCTTGTGTTACTCTTGCCCTCCACAGAGCAGACATTGCCACTTCAGTTTCTAAGATGCCCCATTCATGGTGAGACTTTGACTGTTCAGCAGTTACTCTATACAGAGCTAACAACACTTGGATGGCCATCTCACAGGGCTTTGACCTCTTGCTATGTGACAAATGCTGCTTGAAAACCTTGTCTAGGGCTCTAGCCTTCCAGGGAAGAATGGCAGCCAGAGAGGGGGCCTCTTTGGGCTCTCTCATAGGACTTAGTCTAAACACTGCATTCAGGTTCTGCCATGTCCGCACTCAGATTGATCTGTCACATCCCTCCTGGTACCCTCATTTCAGCCATTAAAGGGTCCAGAGAACAATCACATTCCTTTCTGTAACTAGCTGATTCAGAACCCAGATTTGCCCAGTGCTGAAGTCTACTCCCTTCACCTGACTATTTAGGACTAAAGGAAAGTGGTTCTTGCCTATTTTGCTTCATTGTCCCCTCCCTGATTTCACTGATGCATGTTGAGAATTGCTTGCTTAAACTTTGATCTCGGCATTTATTCATTGGACTTACTGTTAATAAAAGTCTGAAATTTGCTCATTTGGCTTTATTATTTTAAAAACTCAAAGTCGTATATGCTGCACTTGGTAAAGAAATTTCAAGTGATAGGTATGTGTCTGTTTCCCTGTCTACTCAACCCCAGCTGATCTATTGCTGAAGGAACAGAACTCATGTAGGCTTCAGCACATGAGGACCCATCCTAGGAACATAAAAGTCAGCTTTAACTCACTTGGTAGTGAGGAGGCACCTCACAGGCCCTTGATTGTGAGTCCTGGCTCTAGCATGGCATTTTTCCTTTCTTTCTTTCTTTCTTTTTTTTAGCTTTGGAGCCTGTCCTGGAACTTGCTCTGTAGACTAGGGTGGCCTCAAGCTCAGAGATCCACCTGCCTCTGCTGGGATTAAAGGCATTTTTCTTATGCTTTTGCTCATCTTGTTTATCTGTTTCCAGCTTGGGTATCCCACAAGCCCCTCAAATTCACCATGTCCCAATTGGAAATTATGACACTCCTTAAAATCTGACCCTCATTTTATTCCTGGTTTCAGTAGCAGCTCACCTGTGTGAACAGCTGAAATCAAGTTACTCAGAACCTTCTCCATCCATTACTTTATCCCAGTCATCAAATCTTTTTTTCCCTTATGAGTTCTTCAAGTAATGATCAGGTTCATCCTTTTAAGTATACCCTGGGTGTCTCTGCCCTGCAGAAAATCCCATAGTGGCCAACAATTCCTTAGTCAGACCATAAGGTTCTTTGGTGGTCTAAGGCTGGCCACTTTAACTGCAGGTGACCATCTAGTTCATGCACTACAGGTTTCCTAAACCAGAGGCTGATATCTCACCTATTTTTGTTATTATTTTTAAGTTTTTCGAGACAGGGTTTCTCTTTGTAACAGCCCTGGCTGTCCTGGAACTCGCTTTGTAGACCAGGCTGGCCTCGAACTCAGAGAGATCCGCCAGCCTCTGCCTCCCAGGTGCTGGGATCTTATTTTGAGATAAGCACTGTATCTTATTTTGAGACAGTTTCATGTGGCCCTGGTTGGCTTTGAACTTCTTAGGTAGCTGAGATGTGCCACATGGGGCAACCACTTGGATTTGCATTCACTACTGCTCCTGCTGTTTTGTGTGCTGCCCTTCCTATGTGGCTGCTACACAGCCTAAAAAGCCTTTCCCAACCACCAGCTCCTCAGTCTTGGCTGGACTACTGATAGTTTTCATACCCTTTATGATACTTTCATTCTTCATTTATTAACAACACTTGAAGATTTACTTGTTAACCACACATCTTTCTGATGTGTCTTGGTAATGACCATTTTCACACTTTGGTACCTTTTATTTTTTTTCATTATGGTATGAGTTATAGAAGTGGGATCATGCTGCTTATCTTCACTTTGTTGTTTTGAGATAGGGTGCTGTGTAGCCAGGGGTAATCTTGAACCCCAATCCTCTCACCTCCTCCTCCCAAGTGCTGGAACTACAGGCATGTGTGTTTATTTTCACTTAAGACAACTTTTCCATATTCTACAAATTTGTTTTTATTCAACCAACCCCACCCAGAGTTTATTAACTTTTGGGACAGTTTGTTTTAGGCTAGCCTGGGATTCACAGTTCATGAGACCTTGCTGGACATCCAATTACAAGTCCTCAGTACATTCCTTTTCAAATTTATATTGACACATTCTCCCAACTTTTGATGAATTTGACAGTTGACAGAATAATACCATGAACAAGGGCTCACCCTAGCTAGTCACCAGTTAGCATTTTGATTTTTTTTCCCTGAATCATTTCAAAGTCAGCTGCTGACATGCTTCATTCCTAAATATTTTCTATTTCCAGGCAATAGGGTTATTCTACCTGCTGTACCTAAAAAAACCTAACATTGTCTTATCACATACATGCAGTCCAGTTATGCCCAAATGTCTTCCTAGTGCTTTCCAGCTCCATGTTTCCCAAAGTTACCATCTTTCTGATCTTTGATTTAGAATAGTCATGCTGCCTTTTCCCATGACAAATAGAAGCTCATATTGACAGGCAGTCCTTGTAGACTCACTCCTACACCATCAGTCTGCTTATAGGATTTTAACAAGAACACCTGGAGGGTGACATGTTGTTGGTACATCAGCACAGGTTAGCTCGTGTTATTGGATACTGTCATATAAACTTTAAAGGTCTCCCTGAACCTCCTGCTGGGCTCACTGTTGGGACTGTCTAGGGGATATAGTGAAGAGACTGAAGTGGCTGAACTAGAGGTACTGGGAAACAATGGCTGGAGACAGTGCTGGGCACAGAACCCAGGGTCTTGTGCATTCTGGGCAAGTGTTCTACCACTGAGCTTCATCCCCAGCCCCAAGGGCTCATGAATCACCCAGAACACAAAAGACAGGATATTACCCCAACAAGCTGGCCAGCTAGATGAGCTGAAATAGCAAGCCTCATTAGGTAAGGCAGGAGGAAGACACCTATCATCAACCTTGGTCTTTGACACAATACACATGTGAACATGCACACCAAACTTACACATCAACTGCATGGCTTCTGTTCTCTGACTTGAATGCAATTTGGAATGCTGTGTGTGCTCAGTTTGCTGCCTACCTATCAGAACACAGAATCCTTACTGAAACCATTCCGATGAGTTCTTAGAGCAGAGAGGGGCTTGATATGGAATAAAGGCATCTGTAAAAACTACGCTCCTTAATGCTCTACGATGGCAGTTTTACATGGTATTTTCTTAAAATGTTTACCCATCAAGTCTTAGCAACATGACTGCTTAAACATAAACTGAACAAAGACGACACCAATGGACATGCCAGGGTGAACGGAAAGCCCATAAAACCTCAGCCCTACTGAAGAACTATAGGCAACTGAGAAAGCTGGAAGCAGTTGAAGTAGTCATCCCCAGAAGAGCACACCGATTGGTTGTCCAGTGCCAGTTGTCAGCCCTGAAAACATCCATACAAGTCACATTACACACACAATAACAAAAAGACCATGAATTTGAAGGAGAGTAGGGAGGGGCATATGGGATTGTTTGAACGGAGGAAAACAAGAAATGTTGGAATTATACTGTAATTTCAAAAAATAAAAGGGGGAGGGTAGCTGAGGATATAGCATTGTGGTAGAGCACTTGTCTAACATGTGAACCCTTGAACCTATCCCCAGCACTACAGGGAGAAAACCCCAAAACACAACAACTGGTTTACTAAAAGGAAAGGAGTATGTGTGACCGACATGTCTAAAATAATTCTAGGAAGACAAAGAAGAGAAAGAAGTGTGTTGAGGGTAGGCCCAAATGTAGAGCTGGTTCCTCCCCCTTCACCTCATTCCCACCCAGAAGCTTCTCTGCTAGCCGAGGACCGCTTACCTCAGTCCCTCTCTTTGCTGATACCACCTTGTCTAAGCTCTTGCTTCCATTCCCTTCTACAAACAAAACTGCAGTAAAGAGCAGTTACAGTAGGACTCTCAAACTGAACCTCAGGATGTAAGCTATGTGTACATGTTACCTGTAATGACCCTAAGACCACAGTGATGAGAATAAAAGGGTAGCTGTGGTGGAGGCATATACCTATCATCCCAGCACTCAGAAGACTGAGGTAGGACTGTGGGTCTGAGGCTAGCCTGGGCTACACAGACAGCATGCATGTCTCAAAAGAGGTGGGGGGCGAAAAAAAATTAAAACCCGTGCCGTGGTGGTGCATGCCTTTAATCCCAGCACTCGGGAGGCAGAGCCAGGCAGATCTCTGAGTTCGAGGCCAGCCTGGGCTACAGAGCAAGATCCAGGACAGGCACCAAAACTACACAGAGAAACTCTGTCTCAAAAAAAAAAAAAAAAAAAAAAGAGGTAGGGGCAGAACTGATAATGGATATGTGACCGAAGAGCAGTGTTTAAAGCCACGCTGACCCTCAGGAGAGCTGATCCCCAAAACTTCAACTTTGGTATTTTTGGAAAGAGGTTTTTAGGGAAGAACTAGCCCCACGTGCTTTCAGCCAGTAACGTCCAATTCATCAGTGTGGAGGGAGAAACGAGTGAAGCAAGTGTTCTTGCACTATGAATCCATGTGCTGAGGTGGTAGGAAAGGGAAAGCTGCTTCGGGCACACTGCTGGAAACCCTTTTTTTTTTTTTTTTTTTTTTAAACACAGGGTCTTGCTGTTACCTAGCTTGGCTTTAACTCTCACATGCTAGGGTTATAGGAATGTACCACCATGCCTGGGTAAGTCATACAGTTTTCATTTTTATATTTTGGTCAGCATACAAAATGATGGGTTTCATTGTGACATTTTTATACAAAATACATCGTTATTTTTTATTATTATTCACCCCAGCTGCCCATCATGGTACCCTAGGCTGTATTTTTGATATGCATGGTTATCAATGACAAATCTTTAAAAGTATTAAGCAACATCAATAAAAATTAAAAATTAGGTGGAACAGGATGGTTCAAACCTATAATCTTAGCACTTGGGAGGCTGAGGCAGGAGGGTCACTGTGAGGTTAGCTTGTGGTAATGAATTCTGCCCAGAATAAAATTGTCTCAAAAAAGAAAAAGAAAACTGAAGATTGAGGAAAACGTCAGTTTTATAATAGATTTATTTTTAAAGGGTAAAACACTCAAGACAATTTAAATACAAGTCCAACAGAACCGCTGTCAGTCAGCCATGATGCCATCGGGTGTTCTCGGAGTCCTCCTGGTGAGGAAGAAGGCTCTGGCAATGACAAGATAAGTTGGGTTTCGTTTTGGTGTGTGGCCACTGACTCTTCAGTGCCACCTTTAAGGTGCCCAGTGTATTCTAAGCACTAAAACTGTAGAGCTGGAACAACAGCGACTGTCAACTAGGGCTGAACAGCGGCAGCAATACCCATCTAGGAGCCAATGGACCTTCACAAAGCCCTCATAGGGTCAGTCGTTATTGCCACTTTACATGGAATCAAATTCATAGCTCGGCAGCTTGTCCACGATCGCCAGGCTCACTGCCTGGCCATCAATAAGGGGCATTAGTCTCTGGCCATCTCTGCTTCTGAGAGCAGGTGAGGCTGTGCTGGGAGTGGGACTGAGGGACTGAGGTGCGTGTCTGGGTTATGCCATGCAGTATTTGTGTAAGACTGCTTTTAAGAAGAGGGCTCCAGGAACCCTGCAAGGGTTAGGGCTTTGGACACCAGAAATGGCCTGTGTTCTCTAACTAGTGACAGTCTCTGTCAAGCACTGCCAACTTTTGTTCTCTGAGTCTACAGACGGATTAATCCTATGGGAGAATGTGGTTTTATGTCAGGTGTTTACCTGATACTTTATTCATATACGTCCTTCTTATCTGCAATGTAATCTACAATTTCTTGTGGACACATTAACTTCTCTGCATCTATGTCAGGAATTTCAAACCCTAAAATGAAAAAGAAAAATTGGTAACAGTGTGTGAATATGGAAAAAGTAAACCCTTTAGAACTGAAAGCCTATGACTCCCCTTTCCTCTTTTAATTTTAGGTCAGAGCCTCACTAAGTTACTCAGGCTGACCTTGAAATTTCAAGTAGCCATGATTACAGTCTGTGCCACCAGGCTTGGCTCGCACTTGACCCTGTCATCACACCTACAACTGTGTTAAACATCTTCAGCAATCTGGAGTCCCATTTTGTTTTTGAACTGGGTTTTAGAAAATACATAAATCATGTTGGGCTTAAGTTTTTAGAAATAATAGAAAATTTCTCTTTTTAAGTACACAACTCAGTAGTTTGTAGTATGCTCACAAGGTTGTACAACCATTGCTATTGTTTAATTCCCCAAGAATTAATCCAGTTAATCAAAGTCCCCTAGAATAGTGGTTCTTAACCTGTGGGTACTCTTTGGGGTCATATATCAGATATTCTGCATATCAGATATTTATACTCTGATTCATAACAGCAAAATTACAGTCATGAAGTAGCAACAAAATAATTTTATGGCTGGAGGTCACCACAACATGAAGTACTGTATTAAAGGGTCACAACTTTAGGAAGGTTGAGAACCACTGCCCTAGAACATTTTTATCACCCCTAAAAACAAAACCAAGTCATTAGAAGTTCACTCCCCACCATCTCAATACTTGGCAGCCTTAGATCTACTCTGTCCCATCTGTTTTCCTCCTGATATTTCATGCCAGTGATGTACGCGTGCAGCACATGCTGGGGTGCTTTGTATTTTGTCCTCCAGGGTCATTCATGCTGCAGTCTGTACGCCTTCCTTTCTCATTATGCAGTTGAGTTGTGACAGTTTCAATAGGGCTCAAATACTGTATTGAACACCTTCTATGTGATCTCTCAGCAGTCCCAATCTTGAAGCTCCTATCTGGCACACTCATTTTACAGTGTAGGGAAAGACTTTGAGAGGTGCCATTGCTTGTCAGGCTCACACATGTCTGAACTCGGTCCAGCTCTGGTACTTATAAGCGCTAGGCAGCATAGCATTTGCTAATATCATCTATAAGGAGCTTTAACTAGGGCCTGCTTTGTTGGGTGGCACAGGTATCCTTTGCTTTCTAGTCAAACAGCTATCCAAAAAGGAGCCAAGGAATTTTATAAAGTCTCATTTGCACAACAAACAGATCTTAAAAAAAGTTGGAGCAGGCATGGCAAACATCACAGGAGATGCAGACCTCATCTGTGTGTCCTCAGAGCAGCTTATTACTGATGTCTGGTTGATGTCATCATAGCTCATCAAGGCTCCAAGTGTCATCAGCATCTCTACAAGTCAGACTTTTGCCCTTGATCCCATGCTCTCCCAGGCCTTTTGGGGCCAGTCAGCCTTTAAATCTAGTACACATTCTGCTAGGCCTACACTGTCCCTAATATTCACTTCATTTAACAGTAAGAAGATTGGGAAGTACTGGCTGTTATTGTTTCTACTACTACTTGAATCTAGTCCAGACTCTAGCATTTCCTTCAGTTTAAACCACCTAAGAGTCACCTGAATACAGCCTGGGCTTCAGAGAGAGATCTTTTCTTAAAAATAACAAAATGAAGACTCATAACATGCAATTCCAAAGCTAAGGTATATATGTTACCAAATTCGTCTTCCATGGCCATAATAATCTCCACTTGGTCCAAACTGTCTAAGCCCAGGTCCTTCATAAAATGAGAATTTACTGAGAGCTGCAGGAAAGAAATACAAAACAAAATTTAATTCATGAAGGTATTTGCTTCCCAAGACAACAGAGTGGTACTTCATCATCATACAGAAGATTTTCAAAGAAACATCAAGGCTTTAAATAACATGGTGTATTTAACATATGCTGGCATGGGCACAGTATATTTTGTTAGTTTATTCAATTTCATTTTAAGGTGGTTAACTTTAGAAACAAATTTAAATAAAGGATTTCATGCTACATTTTTTTTTTTTCCGAGACAAGGTTTCTCTGTGTCGCTTTGCGCCTTTCCTGGAACTCACTTGGTAGCCCAGGCTGGCCTTGAACTCACAGAGAACTGCCTGCCTCTGCCTCCCGAGTGCTGAGATTAAAGGCATATGCCACTGCTGCCCAGCCATGCCACATATTTTATTAGGATCTTAGATCACTATTCTAAAGGACATCTAAGAGAATTTGTTTTCTTGCTATTTTACTAGCAAATAAAACCCCTTTTCCCCCAAGCCTAACTGTAGGCTATTATCCTAGCAACTCAGGAGGCAGGCACTTACAGATCTGAGTTTGAGGCCAGCCTCGTCTACATAGCAAGTTCCAGGACAGTCAGTCCTACACAGTGAGTATCTATCCTTTAAAAAAGAAAAAACAGGCAGGCTATTATAGGGCTGTAGCTCAGTATAGAGCATTTGCCTAGTATGTATGAGGCCCAAGGTTCCATCTCCAGCAACATAGACACACTCAACAACTAAAAATCCTAAGATTATTATAAATTGTAGGTACCTGTCAGAAGATAAAATATTGTATTCATTTGCTTATAACTTATACTTCAAGATCACCAGGAAATAGGCTTTAAAATCCATGTTAAGGTCCTGAGATGGCCCAGCAGTTAAAAAACATTCCCTATACAACCCTGAGGACCAGAGTTCAGATTCCAGCACCCATGTAACAAGCTGAAGCTGTGTGTCTGGTACATGCCTATACCGGCAGCTTCAGAGTGGGCAGAGACAGGAGGATCACTGGACTTGCTGGTTTCCAGCCTAGCTGAGAAAATGGGAGCCCCAAGTTCAGAGATACCTTGCCTCAAAATAGATGGGAGAATGAAAGAGGACATTTGATGACTTCTGTCTTCAGTACACACGTAGGCAGGTATGCAATTGTACACACACATAAATCTTTTTTAAAAAATGTTTTTAGCCAGGTGGTGGTGGCGCACGCCTTTAATCCCAGCACTCGGGAGGCAGAGGCAGGCGGATCTCTGTGAGTTCGAGGCCAGCCTGGTCTCCAAAGCGAGTTCCAGGAAAGGCGCAAAGCTACACAGAGAAACACTGTCTCGAAAAAAAAAAAAAAAAAAAACTTTTTAAAAACTATGTTAAACTACACAACAGATCAGTTACTGAAGAAAAAAAATTGTACAAACCACCATGAAAAAATTCCAAGAGTTAAGTTAAAAAAGAAGCAAGCCTATGTGGCAGTACCTCTATAATCCCAGTGCTCAGGAGAAGGCAGAGAGTGTGAATATTGGACCAGCCTGGGCTACACAGGGAGCCCTTGTCTTTTAAAACAAAAAGCAGGAGGCAGAATGCAGTTCTGGTGTATGGACCACCTGTGCTTTTTGCAGGCTTTTCTTGTACTGAGGATCGTGATTAGGCCCTGTCCTGGGGTAAGAATGCGTTTCCCCCGAACTACACTCCCTGACCACTTGTGTTTTCTGAAGAGTGGGAAATACACATAAATACTGTAGTGGTTTGAATGAGAAGTCCCCGATAAGTGTTGGGCATTTGAATATTTGGTTCCTAGTTGGTGGCAATTTCGGAAGGATTAGGAGGTGCAGCCTTGTTGGAGGAAGTGTGTCCCAGGGGCAGGCTTCAAGGCTCCTCCATTCCCAGTGTACTCTCTGCTTCCTGTTTGTGGTTCCTATGTAAGCTCTCAGCTACTTCTCCAGTGCCATGCTTACCTGCCTCCTGCCATGATGGAACTATAACCTAAATAAACCCTTCCTTCTGTAAGTTGTCTTAGTCATGTTTTATCACAGCAGTAGAAAAGTAACTCACAAATACATACGCTATACATGTGTGTCTGTACTGCCTAACATCTATTGGGTCTCGGAAAAGATAAACAAGAAGCTCTATCTATATGAGAACATTATCAATCTCCTAGTGGGGGAACTGGTTGGCTGGAGGCTGGGAGAGGTTGTTTGTTTGCTTCTTTAATTTCATTTTTTTATTTATGTGCATTGGTGTATTTGCCTGCATGAACATCTGTATGAGGGTGTTGGGTACCCTGGAAGTGGTTACTGCCATGTGGGTGTTGGGAATTGAGCCCAGGTCCTCTGGAAGAGCAGCTAGTGCTCTTAACCACTGAGCCATCTCTCCAGCCCCGATGCAGAGACTTTTAATTGAATATTGTTTGGCCCCTTTGAATTTTATACTATCTGAGTAAATACACTAAAGAAAACAATACAGGCTGGTGAGACAGCCCAGCAGGTCAAGGTGCTTGCCACCAGTCCTGATGACCCTGAGGTCAGTCTCTGGGACAGGCACGGTAGGAGGAGAGAACTGACTGCTGCAGATTGTCCTGGGACTTCCTCATGGGGGCCATGACATGCATATACATACAGAAGTACATATACAAACACATATACAAAGACAAAACAAAAGGGAAATTAATAAATTCCTCTCATTTATTTATTTTCCAGAGTTATAAAGAGCTGTATTAGAAAGAAAGAGGGAACAGGAGGGAGGAGAGCCAGGCCTGGACAGAATGGAAGATGGTGGGAGCAGAGAGAGAACAGAGAGAGAGAGTGTGGGGGTCCGCGTCCGGCTTTTTAAGGCGGGGATTGTGTGACCACGCAGCAATAAATTCCTTTTAAATTAAAGGAAAAGATATAAAAAAAACTCAACCAGTTACCTTTTCTGGGTCAATCTTGTCATAGAGTTTCAAGACATACAGCACTCGGTCCTTGATTCCCTCTAACGTCAAAGGGGGTGCGTCACTGTACTGACGGCACAAGTGTGTGACCCTTCCAGGCACCTAGAACAAAGGCAGGAAGGAAACTGTCGCTCAGTCCCAAATGTCTTTACATAAGTGCACATTACAGGTATCTTTTAAAAAACTTACACAGCAATGTTTTACTTGGGAGCAGGATCCACATGTGCCATGGCACATGCGTGAAGGTCAGAGGACAAGCTGTGGGAGTCAGTTCTCTTCTCTCACTGGGTTCTGGGGATTCAACTGAGGTCATCAGGTTTGGTGGCAGGTGTCTTTACCTGCTGAGCCACCTCACTGCCCACCACAGGCACTTTCACAAAGCTTCCTAGGCTTTACAGAACCCACCTCATCTCATTTTCCAGTGTGGTCATTACTGTATACTGAGTCATAGAGCTGGGTCAACTCAGCAGCTCTAGCATCAAAATGAGTGTCACTTGTCCTCAAAATCAGGACTGGTCCCTCTGGCTTTGGACATCATCTTGTTCAGTAAGACTGTCACTAACGTAAGAGGGTTATAGAAATGCCTAAGTTCCCTCACGGCAAATTTAGCATGTCATAGCCTCTTCAATGCACTGCCACATTTATTACACAGGTAAGAGTCCAAATAACCCACCCTAACAGCTGCCATGGTATATATACATCAGGAGTTAACCCACCCTAACAGCTGTCATAGTATATATACATCAGGGGTTAATTAGGCTTAGGCAGTAACTAGACTCTGGCTAGAACAAATGATGCCAGCTACCATCCCTAAACCTCACAGCTCCATCTATTTCCCTGCCAGGTAGGCATGCCCTATAAGTCACCAGACATGCTATGAGCCTTTCTGAACTAAATATCTCAAGTATTTCTGCTGTCAGCCTGCTTTATACTCAGTTGAGTAGTGAAGCCTTGACCAGATTTCATTTACTAAGTATAGAGGAGCACTGACTGGTAGAGGGTTTAATGATGATGAAGTCATAACTAGAACAAGAAAAAATGACCTATTTAGCTGTTTGGCGCATCATGGGGTCCCCATAAACTAAACATGTTATCTTCAAATGGTTTTTGAATCCTTTTTTTTTTTTTTTTTTTTTTTTTGGTTTTTCGAGACAGGGTTTCTCTGTGTAGCTTTGTGCCTTTCCTGGGACTCACTTGGTAGCCCAGGCTGGTCTCGAACTCACAGAGATCCGCCTGGCTCTGCCTCCCGAGTGCTGGGATTAAAGGCGTGCGCCACCACCGCCCGGCGGTTTTTGAATCCTTAGTTTGTAGCTAAGGCTTTCCCACAGAAAATGCATTTGTTGCTGGGCTTTTAATCCCAGGTGCTTGGGAAGTGAGGCAGGAGGGTCAAGATCAAGGCCAAGCTGGGCAATTTAGTGAGAACACGTTTCAAAATCAAGAGGGGCAGGAATGTAATACAGCTTAATGGTAGAGCAGTCTGCTTAGCATGTATGAAACCCTGGGTTCACTCTTTAACACCGAAGAAGCGGGGGAGAAAAGACAGCAATATGGATCAGAGACTAAAGGCACTTGCCACCAAGCCTAATAACCCAAGTTCAATCTTCAGAATCCACATAGTGGAAAGAGAAAACATGGACTACCTCAAGTTATCCCCTGACCTCCTCATGCAAGCTCACACACTAAATAAATAAATGTAAGAACGAACTGGGTTTGCTTGCTGGCACTCAGGTCTCTGAGTATGTCTATGAAAAATGACCTAAGAGCTGTTCTGGTGTCAAATGCTTCTAACTCTAACAGTTGGGAGGTTGATATCCAGGGTCCCAGGCAAGCCTGGACTATTTAGCAAGAACTTACTTCAAAATAAAACTGAACCAGTGTATACCTCTTTATCAAGATATACTTAATTTGCAGCAAACTAAAGAGATGAACTGAAGAGATATTCTAGAGGATTTCTGAATACTTTTTAATAATGGCAGAGCACCTTTGTGTTGAAATCCATTGTTTCATTTATACTTTGTGTCAGAGGCCTTTGATAGGGACATACCACCAGACCTATGCATCACAATGACTTAAAGAGGTCACTAATAAAATGAAGCAGAAAGGAATAGAAAGAAAGGAAGAAAGGAGAAGAAATATGTTAATAATGAGAATGACAGAGAGTTGACCTCCTGAGGTAGGAGGACCTAAGAGGTCCTGTGTGCATATCAAGAAGGCATGGAAAAGAGATTAGAAACTATTAAGGGACTGGAGTTGTAGTTCATTAGTTGAGGGCTTGCCTTGTATGAATGAGGCCTTGGGTTCAATGTCCAGCCTGGAAAGAAAAAAAGATCCAAGCAGATTTTAGTAAGACATGGTTCAGGCTTGTACTTGGGAGGCTGAGAAAGAGTAACACACTCTCTCACCAACCTGAGTTCCAAGGCCAGCCTGAGATAACATGAGACCCTGTCTCAACGACAACAACAAACAAAAAACATCAAGGACTGGTATGAAGTGGAATTAACACAGAAGAGACGGAGAAGAGACAGAGAAGAGTGCCGAGCTTGTCACCAGGCCATGGGAAAGAGTGGCTGGGAGAGTCTGCATGTATAGTTACTCACTCATGTGGTTACTAGGTGTCAGCAGCTCACCAGGCATCACTGGCAAGTTCCTCCAGAGTCAGGTAGGTGCCAAGTGATTGAACTAAGAGTTCTCTGTCTTGAGGCTACATGTCAATCTAAAGTAGATGGCTGTAGTGAGATCAGTACAAGGCAGTAAGATGTAGTGAGCCGAGAGGTGAGACTCAGAAACCAGATCAGATGCAGTAACCAGACTGCTTAAGGTAGTTAGCATCAGAGTATTGGCTCCTACTAGCTGTTTGTCCTCATCAAGTTATATAACCTGTATATGCCTCAGTTTCTTTAGCTATTAAATACGGATAAGCAACAGTACCTCCTCGTTCGTGAGATTGTGGCAAGGCACCAGTTAGCTGATGTAAAAGCACTGGACACTGCTTGGCATCTACAGTGCTACAGTCCAGCAGTGTGGCCCCTTCAGCTATGGTAGAGCCTAAAATACATACTCCATTCATTCCTTTCCTTGGTCATTTTTTAAAAATTGTCATTTACTTACTCATTTTGGTACTGGCATGGGACCCCGTTTCATCCGTGCTAGGCAGGGGCTCCACCATTATATCGCCAGCCTTGTTTTTGAAATGGGGCTTAATTACGTTACTCTGGGTAGCTTTGAACTTACTCTGCAGCCCAGACATGCCTTGAACATATTCTTTCTGTTGTTGCCTACGAAGGAGCTGAGATTACAGGCCAGGGTTGATTTGTTTCACTAAATCAGACTATGGCACTACTAAGCACTTTACACACCTTTTACAAAGTAATTGAGACAGGATGGCTAGGTATCCTACCCCAGGTTTCCATGCATGACCGCTTGCAGGGTCTAAACTGCTTCCTCCTGCCAGATCTCTGTGGTGATATATTGTGTCTCCCAATATATTGTGCATCCTAATAAACTTATCTGGGGTTGATATATTGTGTCTCCCAATATATTGTGCATCCTAATAAACTTATCTGGGGTCAGAAAACAGAACAGACACTAGATAGACATAGAGGCCAGAAAATGGTGGCACTCACACCTTTAATCCTATCACTTGGGAGGCAGAGATCCATCCGGATCTCTGAGTTCAAAGCTACACTGGAAACAGCAGGCATGGTGATTCACACCTTTAATCCCAGGAAGTGATGGCAGAAAGCAGAATGGTATATAAGGCGTGAAAATCAGGAACTAGAGCTGGTTAAACTTTTAGCAGCAGTTCAGCTGAGATTCATTCTGGATGAGGACTCAGAGACTTCCAGTCTGAGGAAACAGGATCAACTGAGGAACTGCGAGGTGAGGAAGCTGTGGCTTGTTCTGCTTCTCTGATCTTCCAGCGTTGACCCCAGTACCTGGCTCCAGGATTGTTTCTATTAATAAGACCTTTTAAGATTCATGCTACAGATCTCTGCTAGGAAAGCACCTCCCCTGTAGTCAACACAGTTGTCTCGGGGGTGTTCTAACCCCAGACTCACACATGGGACATAAATGATCTCCAAGCATCAAGGGTGGTATTGTCTGCAGTGACTCTGAGCTTGCCTGGTATTGAAGAGTTTCTATCAGAATCCATCTTGCTCCCCTCTGTCCTTCTTTGTTTATGAAAGAATCTTTAAAGGCCATCTCTGTCACTTGTCCACTTCAAACCTCAGGAACTGAGACACCTCAAATGCAGCTGTTTGAAACAAACCTGCACCTCTACAAATCCCTTACTCTACTCCCTCTCCATCTTCTGGGATCACCAGAAACTTCCAAGCCAACTTATTTCAATCATTGAAGCTGGGTGATTTAGTGAAAATGTTTCTTATTCCTTCAACAACAAGCCTTACCTTTTTTATTTATTTATTTGGTTTTTTTGAGACAAGGTTTCTCTGTAGCTTTGGAGCCTTTCCTGGAACTAACTCGGTAGCCCAGGCTGGCCTCGAAGTCACAGAGATCCGCCTGCCTCTGCTGGGATTAAAGGCGTACGCTTCCACCGCCTGGCCTTGTTTACTGTTTGCTTCCCCTGATTTGTGCAGAGAACGTCCATATTCCAATAACAAGCCTAAAATACCCTGTAAACAGCTGTCTTTCTACATCTATGAATGAACTTACTCAAAACCATTCTGTAAGTATAAAGCAGTTCCTCTACTGTCAACATAAACCCAGCAGAGATAGCACTGCCTGTTCTAAGCATGGTCCCAGGATCACATCTGGAAAGCCCATGAGAACACACTTTGCAGACCTACCAAATCAGTCTTCTGTTATAACCCTGATGATGTGTGTGCACACCTATGTTTGAGAAGCAATGCTGTAAGAACAAGGAGATCACATTTTATCCTAATCTGAAATTAGTCTCTAGACCCAAACACACAGCAACTTTACTGCCCTTCTAACACCTTACAATGACAAGCTTTTGGGACAATGCCCTGTGTATCCATTACACTGTCAGCGAATCTCAACACTGATGTAGATTCTTATTTCTTCTTGTAGCATGCAGGTGTGGCTGAAACCGCTAGCATAGGAAGTTCATGAGTGCGAAAAGGGTTTTTCAACTTGGCCCAGAGTCTATCCTACAGTAGGCTCCTAATCTTGGATGCTCACGGGGAACTTAAAACGCCATGCCAGGGCCTGATGCCAGAGGAATAAATCAGAAGAGGAGCGGGAAGAAGGTTAGAATCTTCTGTTGTTGGGCATCTAGGGTTGAAAGTGATGCCCGAGAGTTTCAGCCTCACACTAGTTTTATTAAATATGCAAGCTACACAGCACTTTTTCCTATCCCTACTTCCAGAAGGCTCACAGACAAAAGGTGCCACAAGGGGAAAATTATCACAGAACTCTAGGAAGAGAATACTCTATAGAGAGGGCAGGCAAGTGGTTTCATCTTGTGCACTCTTTTTAACCTTCCCTAGGAAGTGACCACAGTATACCATCATCCAGTAGGTGCTTCCCTCGATCTCTCTCAACTAAATCTCATTGCCACTCCGCAAGGATGAGGGCTGGTGCCCAATTTTGTTGTTCAGTCGAGACTTGGTCAAAGTTCTGTGCTTTAATCATCAGACACTCGGCCTCGCGACAGGGGTCAACCAAAACCCGTCGGGCAGCAGGGCTAGCTGCGTACCCCGAATCACCCCTGCAGCTGCTGTGCAGCCGGCTGGGGCCCCTCCCCCAACCCAGGCAGCCCGGGCCCTGACCCCTGAGCAGCCCCGGCAAAGTCACCGCGAGTCACCTGCGTGAGCGCCAAGGAGGGCTGCAGAGTCCCGGGCCTTCTCCGGGTTCCCTCAGGGCAAAGAGTGGTGCTGAGCGGCCGGGCTAAGGCCAGTGTGGGAAGCCGGAGCTTGGGCGCGAAGGCCGCGGGCAGGCGGCGGACACAGGCGGAAAGGACACGAGCCGCCATGGCTACGCCAACCCAGGATGCACTGCGCCGCGACCTCCCGCCCAAGCCGGGGTTAGCACGGTACGCTAGCGACGTACAGAGCGGCGCCGGCGGGCTCCGCGGGCGCTGGCGCTCCCTGGCGGCTCCCGGCGGCGCTGCACCCACCTCCATTTGAAGGGCAAGAGCTACTGTGGTGCCAACCGCACAAATGCCCTCTGTCCCCAAACGCTCACTGACAAAAAAGGAAGTGACATTTCTCCCCTCAAAATTCTGAAATTAATTGTTTTAAGAGTGTTGGCCGGTGATCCTGGCGTGGTGGCAAACGTCTTTAATGCCAGCACTCTGGAGGCAGGCGAATCTCTGTGAATTCGAGGCCAGCCTGGTCTACACTGCAAGTTCCAAGCCAGCCAAGGCTACATACTAAGGCCCTGTCTCAAAAAATAAAATATGCCATGGTTCTCCCATAGCATTAAGATTTTTTTCTTTTTTGGTTTGAATGAAAACTCAGTACAAAATGTGAGTGTGAAACAGAGTGGATTTAAGACTAGTAGCCAGATGTGGTTGCCAAGTCCCAGCTCCAGAGTCTGAGACAGGAGGATCATGAGATGATGGTAGTCTAGACTACATAGCAAGGCCCTGTCTCTAAATAAATAAATAACCCAAAGGACACATACACAAAACAAACCCCACAAAATCCCATGTGCTTGCATATGTAAACTGAAGACTAATAAATGGGAAGTATAACATATTTTAATTTTTGGTAATGTACAACCCTGGGTTAAGACTGGACAATATCCAGTAATATATCCAACAAAATGGACAACTATGTATATCCAACAATATATCCAACTAACATATCCAACAACTAACATATCCAACAAAGTGGCAACTTTGGTGCCCACACACCAGTTAGCCACTAAGCAAGGCAAACATCTGAGGGACAAACTCCTACATTAATGCACTTTATTTCATTATTTCCTTTATTTTCAGCTAAAGCCTTCTGGTATAAGTTGAGCATGCCTAGAGGCATTCCTGTTCATCCCCTCCAATCTCATAAACACATATCCCATGACCTAAAAATGTGCCTAGTATCTTCTTAATTAAACTGAGCATGCTCAGAAGTGTATGTAGGGATAAGAGATTGTATGATTAAGAATGGAGCCAACCACACCCCAACATCTTCCCCATCTAGGAACTGTTGGAGCTAGTGAGCTGCAGGATCCTGACTCAGGGCAACAGGATATCTCAGAGTCTCTATGGGGGCCCAGTATTGACACTGTAGTAGAAGCCAGAGGCCTTGAACGAGCCTACAACTCATTGCAATGAACATTTTTAAGGAAAGCTGTTTGGGCAAAAGGGTATACTATGTGACGCACCGCAACTTCCAGTGCCACTATGACAAATGAGTATGCGATGGAGATGCAGGGAAGATGGAGGAGCAGAATGGTACATGCACAGAATGATGAAGTTGATAGAGGAGGAGGGCGTTGCCCAGAGGGGTCCACAAGATGAGTTTTCGTTTTGTTTCCTTTTTTCTTTTCTAATTTTTATTTATTTTTTATTTACTTTTGAGAGGAGGCTACAAGAGTGGAGGGTGAATATGGAAGAACTGGGAAATGAGAGATTGGGGTACATGATGTGAAATACCCAAAGATTCAATAAAAAATTATGTTACAAAAAAAAAGCCAATCCCTGTGTGAATATATAGAGAGTTCACTGAATGAAATTCCCCAGTACCTTTGTTTATGAGTATCTTCCTTTGAAAATAACTCTTTGGCTTTCCTGACTGCTACAGGCACTAAATTTTTCTCCACTTTTTTATGTCTTGGTTGTACTTATTTTAGCTGTGTAGGTAAAGTTCAGACAAAACTGATATTCCCAACTCCATTCTCTATGACATGGTTTATCTTTGGAATTCTGAGCTGTCTGTCCTTTCTGCCTGGAATCCTTCACTTCTGCTTCACCTGCTTCTCCGGCAAGAATCAGCTGTCACCCTCCACAGAGCTTTCCAGGTTGTACTAACTGCCCAACACCTGCATTTCCATAGCAGCACTGGAACTAACCCTTAAAGGTCTCACACAGCAAGCACATAAGCGTTACGTCTCCCAGGACAGAAGCCTAGCAGCAATCCTTATGTCCTTAATGTTAACACTCACCATCCACTGACTCTTCACAGCATGGAACTATGACCTCACCCTATTCAAGTGTTTTGCTTCCTTCTCCCTTTCTTCTTTTGGACCGGATCTTATGTATCCCAGACCAGCCTCAAATTTGTTATGTAGCTGAGGATGACTTTGAACTCCTGATCTTGCCTCCACTTCCAAAGTGATGGAATCATGGACTTGTATTCCTATTCACTCAGGAGGTGGAAACATGAGGATCAGAAGTTCGAGGCCTTCCTCAGCTACACAGTGAGTTCAAGGCCAGCCCAGGACTCTAGCCTACATGAGACCCTATCACTAGAGGGGGGTGGGGGATGGACCACTAGTGATAGGGAGCTGGTACTTAAGGATGCACATGAGAATGGAAAAGAGCAAGGTCATCTCTGACCTAGGATTTTTACTTGTGTGTCTATTTCTGTGTGAATGTTTGCTACCTGTAAGGGCGCATGCCAGGGTCAGAGGAGGGTATCAGATCCCCTAGAGCTCCAGTTAAGGGTAGTTTCGAGCTGTTTGACATGGGTGCTGAGAGTTCAACTGGGGTCCTCTGGAAGTATGGCAAGCATTCTTAACTCTTAAGTCATCTCTCCAATGTCTAAGGTTTAAAAAAAAATTTTTCAAAAAAAAATTTTTTTTTTCAAGACAGGGTTTTTCAGGGTAGCTTTGGAGTCTGTCCTGGAACTCACTCTGTAGACCAGGCTGGCCTTGAACTCACAGAGATTCAGCTGCCTCTGCCTCCTGAGTGCTGGGATTAAAGGCATGTACCACCGTCGTCCATCTTTTTTATTTTTTTTGAGACAGGGTTTCTCTTTATAACAGCCCTAGCTGTCCTGGAACTAGTTCTGTAGACCAGACTGGCTTCGAACTCAGAGATCCACCTGCCTTTGCCTCCCAAGTGCTAGGATTAAAGGTGTGTTCCACCATTCCTGGCTGTTTTGAATTTTATCTATTTTTTTGGTTTTTTGAGACAGGGTTTCTCAGTATATGACTGTCCCGGAACTCACTGAGATCTGCCTGCCTCTGCCTCCCAAGTGCTGGGATTAAAGGCATGTGCAACCACTGCTTGGCCTATTTTGATTATTTTTAATAAATATATGAAAATCAAGTAGTATAAATGGCATTGAAACTATATTGTGAGGCTAGGCATGGTGCTGTACACATTAATTCATCATTTGGGAGGTAGATGCAGGCATATCTCTGTGATTTTGAGGCCTGCCTGATTCATTCAGTGAATTCCAGGCCAGCCAGGGCTACACAGTGAGGCCTTGTTATTTTTTTTAATTTTTTTCTTTTTTTTTTTGGTTTTCCAAGACAAAGTTTCTCTATAACAGTCCTGGAACTCACTGAGTAGCCCAGGCTGGCCTTGAACTCAGAGATCCACCTGCCTCTGCCTCCTGAGTGCTGTGATTAAAGGCGTGCACCACCCCCGTGTGGCTGAGGCCCAGCTGAGTCTCTTTTTTTAAAGAAAAAAAGCTACATTGTGTGCATGGTGGTACACACCTATAATCCCTGCAGTTGGAGAGCCCGAGACGAGAGGATCTTAAATCTGAGGGCAGCCTGGATTAAGTAGTAAGCCTCTTTTAAAAATAAACAGGGCCAGTGAGATGATTCAGCACATAAAAGTCATTTGTCAATGCCTTCAATTTTAATTTTAAAGTTTAATTTCTAGGTTCCACATGGTGAAAGGAAAGAACCAACTCGTGTAAGCTGTCCTCTGACTTCTGCATACATTAAGTAAAAATGAAATAAGAAAATAAACAAGGGGATGGATGGCAGATATGATCAAACTACACTATGTAAATTAAAAATACTTAAGTTAAACAAAAAGTATATATAATTCTAATCTAACTGAAATATTTTTATTACGCAAATATTATTGACTAAATATCCTAGTTACATAAGTAACCTTTGTGTGTATGTGTGTGTACAACACATACACCAGTGCACATGAGGCCAGGGAACACCTTGGGTGGTATTCCTTGGGTGTCATCTACTTTATTTGGGGGGACAAGATCTTTTCACTGGCCTGTCTCTTGCCAATTAGGTTAGCTTAGCTCCCCAGTGAGCCCTAGGGATCTGGCTATCTTTGCCTTCTCCGTGCTAGAATTACAACTCTGTCCCTAGGCCATTATAACTGATGTCAGGTACATGCAAGCACTTTACCGACTGAGTTATCTTCCCCAGCCTTCTAAGTAATTCTTTTTAATTCTTATTTTTGAAATGACCTGAACAGGTTAAAGAAAAAAAAGGAACATGCCAAGCAGAATGTATCAAAATAAATATTTATTAACATTTATATACACCTGTAATAGCAAATGTGCAAATATGGACTTAAAACCATAACACCAAAGTAAGTATAAACAAAGTCAGTAGTGCCACCATTAGAATAAAATTAAGTTTGTGGGAACACATTCAAACAATCATGTTACATGTCTTTTGGATACTGTCTTCTTTTTCAAAAAACTATTAAGAGGCAAAATATCCAGCAAACTATTTGCCTCTTAACTTACAAGTAGCGGTATATGAATACACTGCCATCTTTTTGTCCAGCTAGCAAGCCAGAATCTGTGCCTGACCATTTAACCAGAGACCAACTCTGACCAGAGGCAGGTGGGAGGAGAGCAGTGCAGTGACCCAGAAGCAAGTCCCAAACGGCAATTGTCCCGGACGTCAGGACGGCCGCTGCGACGTGATCTTTCACATCCCCTTCCAGGAACCTGAGGAAAGGAGACAATTCAGATCTCACCTCAAAGGCTTCACAAAGGGCCCAGAGATGGCTCTGCAGAAAAGGCCCTTCACTAAACACCCATGTTTAGTCCCTGGAACCCACATGATAGAGAGAAAAGTGACGATTGGAAGTTGATCTCTGGCCAGCACGTGCCCACCACGA